TTGGTCTAAATTTTTTAAAAAAGAAAATGTGTAGCAGTTTACATTGCTTTTGCCTCAGTGAGATAAATATTGTCTAATACGCTGAAGTCTCGTTTGTGGATGTCTTTTTTTCTCTGTTATGAAATACTTGGGAGATGTCAGAAGTGATGCAGCACAATGAGGTAGAGAAGCAAGTGCCTTTGGACCCAGTCCTAGAACTCAGAAGTATATAAAGGGCGCACCGTACCTTGTACATTTTCATATTTTAAAGGGTACAGACAAGAGAAACCTTTTACCATAGTGGGAGTTTAATTTCACAGTCTTTATCTGAAAAAAGAAGATTAGCATGAATTTTGGAAGAATTAATATGCAAGGAGGATGATTTTGAAATATTTGTTTTATAAATGGGACAAAATAATCATATATTTTTGTTTTGTTTTTCTTGAATGAAAAGCTAGAAAATACTTTTTTTAAAATTACAGTGTTTGGAGTTAATCAGAGAAATAAAGGAGAGGCTGATACTTGTCTCTTTGCTTGCAAATTGTAAATTGCAGTTATTCGCAATCATGCTTATAGCTGGCATGGGTTCATGTGCATAATCAGCCGCTTTTTGAATGCATGTTCTATTGTTCTGTTTTATTTATGGATTCAGTTATGATGAGAAAGACGTTACGAAGATGTTTGGATGAAGCCTTCGAAATGTCTTTTAGGAGTTTTGAAAGTCAGCGAGTGCCTGGAGTTTGGGGTTCGAACCTGGGCTGTGTGTAGCATTGGAAATTTGGATGAAAAAATTGAAGAGTTTACAGCCTCAAAATGGAAGGTCAGATTCCACTTTTGGACTTTGTAGAGCATGAGCCAGCAAAATTCTGGACTGACACAGGCACATTGTTACCATCCAGTTGAAATATAGCCAGATCCAAGAGCCCTGAGGCCAGGAGTCATCCCATCGATTTCAGCATCCAGACCCTTTCGCAGTCTGATCTGACCCCTCTCCTGGTGGAACAGGAGGCTGAATTTCTACCTCCAGTCTCCTTGCACAAGTGATGTGGCAGCAGACTTTTGGTGCTAATTATCAGCACTAGCCTTCAGATTGATGCGAGTTTGCTTATGTGATTATTTTTCTTAATAGCTACAGTTATGTGCCAAGACCATTAGAGGGGATGTCAGACTGCTCAGGAGACACACGCGCAGGATTACTGGTTCCACTGTCTCATTTGCGGAATCCACCTGGTCAGTGCTCTTTGAGCCTGCACTTTCTAAAATCTTTGGTTTTCCTTACACTTTTTGTCTTAATCTGTTTAAACTGCTTGCTTTTCTGGGGAGGCATCAGTTCTGTGTTTGTAAATATACAGTGATGCAGGACTTCAGTCTTTTAGTGACCACTGACAATGGCTGAACACAAATAACAGTAATTTCTCTCTCTTCTCAGTGACAGATTTTTTTTTTCTTCCCTTTGTGCCTTTCAATTAAAGCAATATTTTGGCTGAAAACAAGATCCAGAAGATTAGCATCACTCAATTCTTGCTGGATCTCCGTGAAAGGCAGAATGGGGGTGATTGTGTGAGTAGTAACATATATAGAATGGGCTGACTTCTCAGCCTTGTGTGAGAAAGTGCCTTATACTCAGTCTTCCTGCAAAAGCAAGCTACTTTACTTGGGTCTTCCCCCCTCCTCCTGTCCAGTGAGAATTATTATTTTAACTGAATTTTGTTAGATCAGTTGCCACGTTCCACAGCAGATAATAGATTTGTAAAAGGTGTACTTATTGCAGCACAACACGCCATGTGCAGCTTCAAGCGCTTTCTAGATAGGGTTAAAATTCTGTATCAGCTCTCTAAAAAATCATTAGTTTTTAAATAGGAAGGAAATAAACTGGTTGTTTAGGTACTGTGCAGGGAGCTTTTAATTAAAAGATGTTTAAATCTGATTCTCTCAACTGTCAGAGAATTGAATTCATGAGTTATGTTTTCTACAGTTGGGGTTGTTTTTTTTTTTTTCAGTAACACTGTATTTAAGTTTGTTCTGTGCCCTGCCTTAGGGGATAGATGGTAGCTCCTGACAGATTCAAACATAGCTGGCTGAGAACACTGCTAGTGACGGATGAACAATGTCTTTGTTAATGCCCCTGTATACATAAATGATGGGCTTGCTTTATTTATTTATAAGGTGTATCCAATTACACATCTCAGAGCAAATGTCTGCTGTTCAGTAAAGCACACAACATCGGCATTAAAAAGACAATCCCTGAAATCAGTGATTTTCCTCACTCTAGAGAGAGATTGAAATAAGAGGTAAGCCTAAAATTCAGCAAATTCAAGGAAGTTCTTTTGGGACATACTCCTCATCTTTAGGAAGTGTTCGAAATTCAACCAAGATGCTGTATTTGCTCTGGCCGTATGCAGAGCTGCCTCTGGAAATGCAGCATGCTGGCTTCACCTAAGATCACTCTTCCACGTGGTCTGGATGGACCAGTCCCACCAGTACAGCAGGTCAGATTCTGTTATCAGGCAGTGATGGCTAGGGTTCACTAGGCTGTTACCTGCTGGGATATGTTGCCATGAAGTGGTCCATCCTAATTATTTGAAGTGGAGGAGAATGAATGATTTTGCCCTTCATGTAGCTTCAGCATAGGGTTTTGGGCTTTTTTACTGTGTATCTGTGTGTGTTTGTACTCATGAGCTGATCCAATTTAGAACTTGAGATGTCCAACCAACATTAGAAACTTCACAGTGTAAATTAAATTAATTTATTTTACCTAGTAGGTTAGCTATATACTGAAATAATTAGTATTTCGCTACAAAAAAAAATAGTGTGAATAAAGATGGGTGTGAAGATAATCAGGGTGTTAAACACTTCTAGACTTGAGATCAGTTTGCCCTCGTGATAGATACCTAACTCAACTAATAGCAGAGTAAATGCATACTCACGAGTAGTTTGTATCGAATAGCTAATGCGCTATAAATTCACTCCTACTTTTCTTATGCTAACTTATTTAAATAGAAGTATCTTGAATTACAGTTATGTCATGAATTGATAATGTAGCCAAAATCTGAATCTTCTGACTTAGCAAGGAGTAATTCTCCTGTCCAGTCCTCGATCCCTAATGCAAACCTGTTATCTGTTACAGGGGTGCTGGAGGCAGCTAGGAGGCACAAATCAGCCCTACCTGGCCTATCAGTTACCACACCAGTGAAAGCAGGCAGCAATATATACTGACAGAACTGTGAAACATTTGGAAGGTTGTGGAGCAGAAGCCCTAGGACATAGAGCTAGCTGCAAGAAGCAGTTGAACTAAGATGTCTTTGCAGTTTTCACAGGGGTGGTTGCTGTTTGGCTTTACCATTTTTATACTGTCCACCATTCCTTCCTGATGGTGATAGCCCAGCAGTTTATTAAGCCCCTTCCCAGGGGCAGTGGAGAGCAAGCATGCCTTATTCTTTGTTTTTAGCCCTTGTGAAGTGTAGCAAACATGTTTGTTTCTCATTCTGTCTTGCTGGCTGTCTCTGAAATGTGGTGTTTTCATGTTGGATATGGTAGTTCTGCAAGAATTTATATTCACAACAAGGTTTATCAAGACAGAATTGCGACTACTAGGCAAATCATTTAGAGTTCAGTTTGGTTTCTAGGAACAAAGGCTTACTAGTTATTTTTCACTGGTTTCTGTGCTATTATGTTGTTGTGATAATCTTGGCAGGGATCTGTCACTTTGTGTTGGTATAATTGAAACTTGTTTTCCCTGAGGAATCACTCTGCTGTTTGTTTTATTTGTTTACTGACATTGACATAGATCCTAATGGCTTTTAAAACCCAATTTGTGCATCACTGAATATCCTCCAAAGAGGAAAATAAAATTAAATTTATCAGTAAAATAGGGTCCCCCATGCAATGCTTTGTCTGGGTCTTAGATTCCACCTGAGCATCTAGCTGTGGGTCTAGAAATGGCATGGAGAGCTGCATCTTTGTTTCTAATTCTGTCTTCGGGGCTTTTTTCATTAAGATACTTGAAAGGATAAATGACAATAAGTTATTTAGGGCATCAGTTCACCAACTTTGCCTTCTGAGAAATAAATTAGCTTTTATTAAAAAGGAGATTAGGATAAAACAACAATCATAATAAAATTCCCCTTTTGGGAGGGTATGCATGATGGTTATCACTTACTATTCCCGTAAAGCAGGGTAATTAAGTGTTCAGATTTTTAAAAGTATACGATATCAAAGTGTTTATGCATTTATTTTGTTTTAAGCCTTTGAAGAATGTTGGTGAGGTCATTCGGACTACTCATGTTCATAATGCTTTGCTGAATTGTGGTTATGGGTAGATATATGGCTTGTTGCATGCTGTGCTCCAGAGGAGTATGCACACAAATAAATGATGAGGCATAGAACAGACGTTCAGGAATGTGAGAAGGAAGAGTGGGTTTCTTTAAGGACTAAAGAATGCAGGATAATTTTTTAACATCTCCAAAGCTGTGGGTTTGCATTGGATGAAGATTCAGATATTTTTTTTTTTGTTTTATTGAAGTGACTTAGACTATCTCTAATTACCTTTTGACACAATTCCTTGTCATTCAAGCATATAGGGATTGCCCAGGTTTCAGTGAACTCTGACTGTGAACATCATGAGGAGATAAGTTTGGAAAATACTGCTGATTTTAAAGGTTATCTGTCAGTTTGTATATATACAGCTATAAGCCAAACCAATCTGACCTCAAACCAGAGCTGTAGTATAATAACACTCTGCCTTTCTTATTGTATATCTCTATTGCAAATCTGCCTGACTTCAATAGAACTATGATAATAATAGATCTGCAGTATTTATGTTGCCTCTTTTAAGGAAGTGTTCTAATGTGAAGGTGGGTAATTAGTGTTATCTCCTTTTTTCACAGAAGGTAAATTAGAGGTACAGAAAGAGAGCCCAGACCATCTCACTCCCACCTTCTTGTTCTCGTTGCTTGGTTCAGTAATGCAAATCTTGACACTAGGCACTTTCTGTCTGATCTGTATGTTGTATTGCATTGCAGTGCCCAGAACAAGGATTTTGGCTACTGGTGGTGCATCTCACAATAAAAAGATCTTACAGGTAAGTAGAAAATTAAATCCTTTGAACTGAACTTGCAGTTAATCTGCATTTTTATTTTGAAGTACCCAATCCAAATTGCTGCAGCTGCACAGGAAGGTGTAGATATGGGATTGTGAATCTGCTGCAGGTCTTTGGGGCTTTTCTTCAGGTTTAGTGTGGGAACTTAGCTGAATGCTAATTTTGTGTTGAACCTTAAAGGTTTTTTTACACTTGACTAGTTTTATGAATGTTTATCTGAAGCACTGGTGGTTTCCAGGTCTCATCACTTACATCAAATCAGTCAGCAAAGAAATCAAGAAGGGACTTGACATGATACCTGAGATCTTTGTAGTTTTTGTCATTCAGATCAAAGTTGGACCATTGGTTTAAACTAGAGAGGGATTTTGCTGGTGTTGAACACTCAAAACCCACCCTAAAGAAACAAAAAAAAAAACCCAGGTAAACCAAGCCCTGCCCTTGTTCTGAATATCTGTTATTTATTGGCATTGTGCCACATATTGGGTGTAAGCTACACTTCTTTATAGTCTTCCCTCTGTCTTCCTTCTTCCCAACTTCCTCTGCTGTTGCTGCACACCCAGCCCTAGTTAAGATCCTTCGCCTGTCTTCTTGAGAACAGTACTGCATGCTCTCTGTTTCTGCCCACAGAGGTATGGCAAAACCTTGCTCACATGGCGGGAGGCTTCTCACCTGGCTTTTGCTATCACAGAACTAGAAATCTGGGTTGGGAATCATCTTGCTTCAATAGAGTCACCTGAGATGTGATGTCTGTATACAATCTGTCAATCCCATAACAGTCGGGGGATATCCCGTCAGTTACAGTGCAAAGGAAACTGGGTGGTGGTTTAACTTACCACACGTAGATAGATGACTCCCTCTGGGTGACCCCAAGAGCTTTCTGTACTCCACTGCCTGCCCTGACAAGCTCCCCTTTGACTAGAGGTGCAGACACTGAGCCTGGAGGTAGGTGTTTACATCAGAAGGCACCTGTCTTGGTCTTAGGCTAAGTCCTAGCACTGAAGTTAGTCGACACAGAGTGAATTGTTTTCTGGAGATGCCAGTCCCTTTCAGTCAGCTAGAGAGAGTCTGGAGGCCAGCCTCAACTATGCACCACGCTCTTTGACAATTGCAATCATATGAAAGGAAGTTTGTATGCTCTGCAAAAGATGAGCTGGAATCAATGGAGGTTGAAGGGCAAAGAGAAGAAAGCTCTCTCTCTCCTAAGGCATCTAAAGCACATGTTTGTATAACCATTGGTTGTACAGCTGATTGGGACACAAATTTGGCATGTTTTGCCTGTAGATGTCACTTCTCTTCATTTGCTTTGGTTGTTTTGCTTAGCAACTTGACATTGGAAAATTAACTGATAGGTTAATTGCTTAAAACATTGGTCCTTACTAGAGTAATTCTACTAAGAATACGTCAAGAAGGAGATTGGGTTAATAGAGGAGTTTGTTTTTAAAGCTGTATTTCCAATTTAGGTGCCAGTAGGATTTCCTTGCTGTGGAATGAAGGCAGAGAACTGAATGTCTTTATCATAGAATCACAGAATGGTTTGGGTTAGAAGGGACCTTAAAGACTATCTAGTTCCAGCCCCCCTGCCATGGGCAGGGCCCCCTTCCCCCAGCCCACGGTGCTCCCAGCCCCGTCCAGCCTGGCCTTGAACCCTTCCAGGGAAGGGGCAGCCACAGCTTCCCTGGGCACCCTGTGCCAGTGCCTCACCCCCCGCACAGGGAAGGATTTCTTCTTTATATCTAATCTACATCTACCCCCTTTCAGTTTAAAACTGTTACTCCTTGTCCTATCCCTACCCTCTCCAATGAAGAGTCCCTCCCCATGTTAAACAGCAATAGTTCCAATACTGACCCCTGAGGAGCACCACTCGTCATTATAACTTAATTCCGCAACATCCACAGCTGAAACACTGTGTGAATGGGAAAATGGTGGTTGTGGTGCTCACTCTGCACGTGTAACAACAGCTGCTTTTAAAACTCATTAGAAGTGTCTTAAAATAATATGATCAATACAGTGTCATCCATTTAATTCAATCACTGGTTAATTGGATCCTCCTTTTTAATTTAATCAAAACCTCAGAAGCCATATCAATTGCACGAAGAATAACAGCTTCCACCCTTATCATGGTCAATTTTGGATAATTTGTTACAGGGCTACAAAATACTATCATTTAATTAATCAACTTTCACTAACTCCTATATTTTACACTGCAAAGGAGGTAACTCAGGAAAATCTGTTAAAAAATATAGTAGGGCAGCTTTCTCCATGGTTCTGGGAACATTTTTATAACATAAGTGTTGCTTGATTAGTGACCACATGAAACACAATGTAATATATTTAACAGTAAAACCTCTAACAGTTTCTTTTTAAATTATTCATGAGAGAGACCACAGTTTCAAATGACTTAATAAATATATGAACTTTGAATAATTTTAATTTTATAATCATGTAGCACAAAAGGTAGTTATTGTTTGTAGTATTACAGCACTTATTAGCATTCAATATAGAGTAGAGCTGCATTGTATAAGGCTCTGCAGAGATGCAAAAAAAAAAAAAAAAAAAGACCTCTGTTGTCTGAATGAATGTACAATTCAAATCTAAGACAAGAAATACCTATTAGAGGTGAGATGAAGAAGCAGATGGGGAATGTGCTGAAACAATACGGTAGTATTGGCTGGCAGGACAGGCAGTGAAACCAGCACTCTCTGACCTTATCATTTCCAGAGGGCTTTTTAATAGATACCATGATTAATTTTCCATTTGTCCTCTAGCACTGAAGCTCATGTATTGCTCAGTGCTTGCTTGCAAGAGAAGTTAGGCAATACTGATTTGGCTATTTTACCAGAATAGAGTGTTTTAAGTGCATAAGCTCAGGCTTTCATTGGATTCTAGTTAGCAGCCAGCCATTTTTGTTTAAAATTATGAAAATTGGTGATTTTCAAAGGTTTGAATTTGCAGATTCCTCACAAACTTTCAGAGAAAGAGGAAAAATCCTTTAGAAATGTCACATACTATTTCTTTTCTATATCATATATGGATTGAATTTGTTAGTCATCTTTTATGAAGCCCTGGGGCCCGTGATCAGTAGGGCTACAAATTCCTGGATTGGGGTTGCAGATCACTAGTCGAAATGGTTTAGATTCCTGGACACTGTGGCCTTATTTTAGGCTCAATTCTGTGGATGTAAATTGGGTGATACACTGTTCCCTTGGGCAAAAGTAATAAAACCAGCACAAGTTAAAACTGAATTGTTACTTGCTTCTTGCGTTGCTCAGCCCGAGGGGCATCTGCAATCCTAGAGGTGATGAAACCAAAATGGAAGGAGTTTGTTGACAGTGGTTTTGGAAAAACAAGTACTGAACCTCCTGTGTCCTTATCCGAATATGTCTTCATTGTACCCCTTCAGTATCAGTTTTCCTAAACCTGTACTGTGGGGAAGAGCACATGTACTCAGGGAATGCGAGATGCCTGTTGTCGATTTCAGTGCAGAACAATGTGTGGTCAAATAACTTTACTATCTGTTGGATGCCATAATAAATTATTTGCTTGTAAAGTGTTTTTTTGCATTGCTCAAGCCAAGTCGAGAAGTGTCTTGGTATATCTTCATAGCTAAAGATCCCTTGAATACAGGAAAGTTCCTGGTAAACGTAGAGACTGTGTAACCAGCTCCTGTGTCATTCTTCCTGATAACCCTAATATGATGGGAATGGTGGAGGTGAAGAAGACAGGCTTGGGAGGCCTTCATACTACTGGGGCTTTTATTTTATCAAAGTTGAGAACTGAGGATTCATAACTGGTTCCTCTCTCCTTCCTTCCCACATGGCTCAGCCATAAATGTGATGGGAGAAAGCAGGCACCAGTTGTGGGTTCCTGAGCAGATTTCCTTGCTTTGATGCAAGCCTGTGGCATGGGCTGATTGTGTGGGTTTATGAAGGGGACGATGCTTGAACCCAGACTCCTCTGAACTTGAAATAGAGAGATTTGGAGAGAAATAAGACTTTGTTTCTTGGCTACAGTTACATCTCTAGCTCAGATTGACCAATACCCTGTTGTGTGACAAGTTTGAGATTCGTTGTTGCATGTGGTGCTTCCTTCATGGGTAGCCAAATGCTTGGCTGGGGTATATGGTAGTTATTTGTTTTCCTAAGCAGTGATAGGGGATTGCTTATCCCTTGTCTTCCATGGACATGCGTAACTGATGCTTTGATACTTCTCAGGTCCTGTCTGATGTGTTCAACGCACCGGTGTACACTATTGATACTGCCAACTCTGCTTGTTTAGGAAGTGCTTACAGAGCAATTCACGGTAAGACTGTAAGGAGATACTTCTGAGCAGTCTGGGCATTTAATTTCAGTTGGTTAATACTTGGGATTAACATTACTGAAAATGAGGGGAGAATAAAGCTGTGTGGATCTGACTGGAAGGTCACTCAGGTCAAAGAGGGTTTTTTGCTCTTAGTACACTTGGATCAGGCCCAAGAATAACATTTATGTTATAATTCAAGTCTGGTGGCTGCTTCTCAACCAAGGGATAGGGCCTGGAAACTCTTCATACTGACAGGGGAAGGTCTAGGACCTTAATGTGATGAGTTGCTACCTTTATGTGCTGCTCTTGGACAAATACAGCCAACTGAAGATGCTGGTGTAACCTGCTGCCCTGGTTTGTGGATCAGGCTGTAAACTGGATTGCTGAAATGATCAAACCAAACAAAAGGTCAGTCCTAGCAAAGATGATCAGAGAGAGCAGGGATGGCAGGACCAGTAATACTGCTGGCCAAGCAAATGTTATTAAACCAATATGTATCTTCCAGCTTTTAAACGTCAAGAAGAAGGATATGCAAGGTATCCTGGGCTCCACGGTCAAGTATGCACTTTCTCTTATAAAAGCATAAATCCTGAGATACTCTTAGGTTGACCAGTCATTTTGCTTGCTGTACTACACCACTCACTGTAATGCAGCAGTCCAAGTCCTAGATGTAAAATGTTAATTAACTTGATCTGTTAATGCATACAGGTGTATGCTAAGGCTGGGTCATCAGCTCTTTAAGAGTTGAATCCCAGGCAGGAATTTTTATTCACGTATTTTAAAACAGTTTCTAATATCTTACGGCTGAACAAATCAAGGAATGTGTATCAAATTCAGGAGTCCCTATTTAGACCAACTTTTGTTAGCCTCATTTTTTCTGATTTAGGATTTGAACCTGAAGACATGGATAGCTTCTGTACAAGTTCATGTAATATCATGGGCTTGCAGCAAGCGTGGAAAAGATAACAGCAGCCATCAGAAGGAATCAGCCAAGTTTTAATTTTAGAAGCAAATTCTGCTGTCACATTATAGCATCTGAAGTCTACATGCTCTCTTGCATTTGAAAACAGCACAGAAAATTGCACAGCCAAAACCCGAGTCAATGTTTTTAGTGCACAGAGCATGTTCTTCTCTTTGTTTCCAGAAGAGACACAAGGGTTCTGTCAGGCAAAGTATGCTTTTGCAGGACAGTGGAAACAGTACTGCTCGATTATCAGTATGTTTGAAGCCACAGTGGGACTGTTCTTCCACCTTGGGGGCCAAGTTTCCAAACTCTTTTTCTCTGTACTCAGACTTTGCCTACTGCTGCAGAAGCTACCAGAAGCTTCCCAGCACCTAATGCTGCAGGCAAATTCCTTGTCTGCGAATGCATGTGAAACATGGAGCTGTCATTAATGTTTGTACAGATATTTCATATATATGGAAGATGTGTATTCCCTCTGCCAGTTTGGCATATGAAATCTTGGGGCTTGGTTGACAGAGCATTTGAGTGAAGATTTCAGATGCCATGCTGATGGAGGGACTTCTTAGCTCAGGTAGTCTGCCAGCCAGCCCCCAGGGGCTTGCTGTGTGGGTTTCTAAACGGCATTTTTGATTGATGCTTTCAGCTGACTCACTCTTGGCCAAACAAAGGAATTGACTAAAAGTGAAGACTTGCTAATATAAATGAAATATTGATGGCAAGGGCACCTTAATAATATTACAGTGCACATCTGCAAGTAAGGTGTTCCACAGTTAGCCTGGGGTTCTTAGCAGCTGTACAAGAAACTCCTGAAATGCTACAATTCATTTGCAAAGCAAAATGCTGTAGTAGCAGAACTCCTCTATTACTCTGCTTCCTTATATATAAACATATTTAATAATTTGTAGTATATTTTCTTGACAGTGTTTTCACTTCTCTTGCTTTTTTTGTTTAGTCACATTTTGTCCTTGAATTCCTAGCTTCCACATATTTTCACGGCTGTTTACTGTATTGTTGTAACCATAAATAATTACTGATATTGTTGAATAGCATTTCTGCTGCTTACTTATTCTCCAGAGTACAAATTGAGTGATTGGCAAAAACTCAATCACAGAGTCCCCACTTCCCGGGCTAGCGCGTGGGAATGTAAGATCTTCTGCCATTTATCCTTCAATCCTGAATGCTGACCTGACCAGGGAAGATCAATATAATGTATTAATTTGCCAGGGAGTCAAGGCACATCCCTCATCGTGCTTTTTGCATTGATCAGAATTGTGATTCTCATTGCAGGGCTTGTAGCTGAGATGAATGTGTCCTTGGCTGATGTCGTGAAATTAGCACCGGAGCCTAGATTGGCTGTTACACCAGCCGCTGGGGCTGAGGAGGTGAGCAGGCTTGAGAATACCATTTTTCTTTTCATTTCCTGTCTGTCTCAAAATGTAGTGGTTTACTAATTCTTCTCGTAAATAGATTAATTTAAGAAACATTTGGTTACACAACTCTTATTCCTTGTTGTAAAAATAGATTTGATTTTGAGGGATCTTTAGTGTTGTAATGGTGCAACAATCTGATCACTCCATCCAGCTCTGTGAGAGTAATTTTTCCTAACTGGGTGTGATCAGAGAGCAAAATCTGTTCCTTAAGGGTCAGAAAAAATTATGAAATAGGTTGAATTTGGATACAGGTCAGTCAGGTTGTAACTGATAATATTGACAAAATACTCTTGACTTCTTTGGAGCCATCAGCATGGAAAAAAGTGTGGTGACGGTGCTCTCTGACCTCTTGGAAAACATCCCCCCAAATCCTTCCTGTCTGATCTTAAACAGTGATCTGCAATTGTATATCTTCACCTGTAGCTCCCATTTGGAAAGTGTGCCAACTGGGAGGATTCAGTTGGCACAAGTCTTCAGTGCTGCGCTCATCCTAGGAATTTCAGCACATCTGAACGTGAAGCTTGTGCTTTATGGGAACACATAGATAAAGCAAAAGAAATAGTCATTGCTACGTGGTTCCAGCCCCTGTAAAACCAAGGAAGGAATAGTTGCCTCAGGCCCTCCAGTGCAACCCTGAACCTCTTGCTATCAGATGCCAAAGGCCTTAGTTTACAACAGCTTCTGAAATACAATGTCCAATAGTAAACAATACAATATAACAAGATTCCTAGAGAACGCAAGTTTAAATAACCAAAGGTGAATCCAACTCTGTCTTCAGCTGTGCAGAAAATTCTTTTAGATCAACACAGCCTTACACTCTCCATTTATGAGATTTGGATGTGCCCTAACTACAGGCAACAAGGTTTTAAAGCTTTTATTTAAACTGGGAAATTAATGATCTGCCAAATCTACTAACTCCCAGCTACATGTGTAGTGAAGCACCAGATATCATCATGAGTAATAATAGAAATGATCATGCTGCATTGTGCCTGCCAGCATATTATTTAATTATTAACTGAGATGGAGGAGCTCAGTAATCGAATAGAAGTCCCCTTCAGAAATATTAAGACATTGAATAATTTAAACTTGATTGATCTGATCTCATTTACTCAACCTTCCCCCCTCATTTTAAAAGATAAAATAATTAACAGCAATGGCCTGTGTCATGCATGTTGCAGCTGAAGCCTTCTGCAGGGAATATACTTCAGGAGCAGATCTCTGGTGTCTGATTCCACCTCACGTTGCTGCCCTGTTCCCCCCAAAAATGCTGTGTGCTGAAAAGCTGCCAGGCTGGCTTGTGTGGAGGTGGAGAGTGCTCAGAGACCTGCTTTTTTGACCCCCTGGTGCTGCTTCAGCTGTAAAACTCAAGGGCAGGGAATACAGCTGTCAGTCACAGGGGCCTTGCAAGAGCAGCAAGCACCTTGTACCCCTGCAGGGGCCAAGCTAACCTAACTGGAAAGATCAGTGGGAAATTCATTTACCTCTTTCTATTTTACTGTCTGCATAAAATGGCCTGGAAGCTAAAAGAGTTAATTATCTCCCTCTCAATACTTTTCTTCTCCTTTTCCACTTGGTTAGACCTGGCTCTCATAGCACATCTTTTTATTGGTTTTAAATGATGTACAGCAGTGAATTATTGCCCCAGTAGATAGGAGTGAATGATAGAGAAGGTAGTGGCCAAACAGCATGTGAAGGAATAAATATTCCTGTGCTTTAGCTTAGCTTGCCAGCTTCATTCCATTAGAAGCAGCTTCTTGAAATTACGCATTCCTCATATTTTTTTTTCTTCCTGTCTTAGAATTTTGTAGTTGATGGTAGACTCCCTGGCTAGTTTCATGGCTATGAAACTGCAGAAAGCCAGAGGGCCTGTCAGTAATACAGTGTGTTAGCATGAACAGTGCAGTGAAAATTCATAATGTGATGAGTCAGTTAGATTCTGTTTTTTTACAGAGCTGCATCTTCCTGTCCATCCAGTTTCATTCTGTTGAGGTTAGAACCTTTCACTTAAATGGCGGTTCTTTTTATAAACTTCGAAGTCATCCTGAGGTTAAGTTGTGTCTCACTGAGGAGCTCTTCCAAAAGAGTCTGGCTAACCAATGTGAAATTCCCCGGACCACTTCCCTACATTTTTTGGATGGCTACAGCTAAATCATGGCAGAGTGGATTAAAAACAGGTCATAACATATCAATCTACTCTGATTTCATCCTTTTTTTCCTGGTATAGGTCAGAGACAACATGTGTTAGATCACTGAAGAGAGTAAAACCTCCTATAGACAGAGGTCAAATGCAACAGTTTGATGTAGCTTCATCTTCATTGCCAAGGCTTATGCATGTGGTAGGGGTTTACAGAAACCAGAAATGCAAAAAATGTTTCTTTGAAAGGAAGGGCAGGGCACAGGACACAACTTTTCCAGTTCAATTAAACTGATGGGCAGGTAAAATAGAATAAAGTCACAAAATGGGAAATGTAGAGCTTGTGATGGGTGATGAACTAGTAGTTAGTGAAAACTGAAGTCCCATAAGTTACAACTTGTCTGGCAAAAACATGACTGTATCCTGTAGCAGACCATCCTGCCTTGAAGAGACCATTTCAAAGAGGACAAATCCCTCCCTGTGGCAATGACCCTAAGTCTCTTAGTTGAGCCTGATTTCGCAGTATATTTGTAGATTGAGGGGGCTCACTTGAGCTTGTTTCTAATTCTGTTGATACCCAAACAGGTCATAAGGTATTCTGGTGGTAACCACTGTGGTGATAGTCTTTGGTCACTTACTCAGCCAGGCTAGCTGAAGTCAGCCCTCTGTGGGTTAACCTGATGAATCCTTCTTCCTTATTTTCAGAATACCAAAAATTAAAGATTCATCTCACCTTTTTGGAGCCTCCTCTCCCCCCTGAGGAGAAAGAATCTATTATTCCAGCATTAGAATTCAGATCTATTTTAGTAATCTCATAAAACTGAGATGATTGGCTAGTTGGTTAATTAAGCAAAAAAGCATGAGAGAGAACATGATTATCTGGAGTTGATCACTTGTGTTTATACAAGCTGTGTGCCTGTGACATAATGTCAAGTTTATTGTAGTGTTGTCCTGTAGGGTTTTGTAGGGAGAAGGCGTAGCATAGTTCACTACCTCAGGATGTGTAATTTTTGATTGCATTATTGACTCTACTGAGATGTATTAATCTTGAAAAAATTCAAGAAGAGAAAATGTAGACCTAACAGGTTTTCTTGACTTCGGTGAATTGCTTTGTAAGTAGGTGGATTTATAGAAGTGACCTGAGTACCCAGGAAGGTTATAATGACCTATTTATTGATTTAAAATAATGACATTTTTGTTGAGTTAGATTTTGGAGGGGGGAAGTTGTTTTCTAGAATTGGTTTAGGTTGGTAATTTAGTGCAAAGTAGGTAATAATAATACAATGACAAAAATATAATAGGTATTGATGGGAGTTTGATTAAGGTGATTTGTGTAGCCAGTATTTTTTTTTAACCTATTAAGCTGATTAAGATAGGCTTGCAGAATGAATATCTGAAGTAAATAAAGTAACTGTTTGAGGTATGGTTCCTTGGAGGAGTCTTCAGAATATTTCAGGACTGTTGTATTCTTTCTGCTTTATTAATATTTTTTCTGTGTTAAGAAAGGTGCACGAATGCTGTGATTTAAGAAATAAAGAGTTACCAATGTTTTATTTTTAGGAAAATCTCTTTGAGAAATTTGAGTTTGGTTTAAAAAAAAAAAGAACCTATCAGAAGTAGCAGTGTGTGTGTGAGAGACTGATTAATTTTAATCTATTCAGGGTAGATTAAATGTACTTGGGTAGATTAAAATTAGATAATCATCAGCATCATCTTTGTAATTTGTAAATTTTGAATTGCTCCAATCATTGGCTAACACAGCATTGCAGGAGATAGAAAGATACATGTGGATTATCATTTGTAGTAATAATTTATAGCTGGTTTTGCTTTTAGAGGGTGGCAGGGACAATGTAAACAGTAAAAGCCATGTTGAGTTCATAGGATGGTACTATAAAGAGATATAATATAGGATGACATATTTGATTTGGACTAGAGAGCAAGGTAACGTTTATTTGAATGCATTTTCCAGGCAGGGCAGATGAAGTTATTCTCTGTTATAATGCAATATTTATCATTAACATTTGCTTAGTTATTTGTGGGACAGTCGGAGTGTGGCCAAATTGTCCCAGGAGAGAAGTTTAGGGTTTGTAAATTAAGCCATCAGAGTACTGCTGATGTTGTGGAGTAGGCTATAGAGTTAAGCAGGGGAAAAGGCCGTAATATAGCAAGGGCAATTAAATTATGGACAATAATAAGGTTCATGTTGTGATACATGTAATTACTTTTGTTGAATATCATGGTTTGATATATTAGGTTTGAGACTATGACAGAGAGGGAGTTTATGTTCTTGAGTTTTTATGAATCGTTGAGAGTTCTTTATTCCCTTTATAAAAATAAATCTATATAATTGCCTCAAGAAAAAGACTCCTGGTATCGCTTAGGAGGAGTTGCCTGAGGTTCCATGAAGGCTGTTCAGTCGCAGCAGATGTGGAGAAGCATCTTTCACAGACACACTGCGCACTCAGGCCATGTTCTCGATCAGTGCAGCTTGGCTTTTCTTCTCTGTACTTGAGCTGCACTGCTTTGGCCCCAAACTTTATCTGGTGTCAAGCTGGCATGTAAAATCCTGCTTGTGAAAAGCTTGTAGTACTGCTGTGCTTATTAGCCATAATGTACTGGTGGTGTTACAGCCAAATTCCCTGAGGAAGGGGGATTTAAGACTTTGGCTTAGCCCTCTAAACTGCGCTGCTTTTTACCCCAAATGAACAGGAACAGAGTACAAGGAATATTCTTAATTTTTTGTTTGTATTTTTTTCAGATGGTCCATAATGCAGCATTCATTTACACTAATGGCTGAGAAGCTTATTGCAAATGTCTGAATTTTCTCAATTAGCAAGCTAAGTGCTTAAGTCCAATAAACAGGGAAAGAAACTGTATCAGTAAATGTGGTTGTTCATTTATTTTGACACATTTTAATTTAGAGTGATGTATTAACAATAATACTTCCCAGCCTTCTAGTAAATGCTCTGTTGTGTATTTTATAAAAATACTGCTGGGTAAGTAATATGAAGCCTGCTTTCTCAGTGCCTGAGCTCACTTACCACTGCAGCTCTGTTGTGCTGAATCTTTGCTGAGAAGCTCTTAGGGTTTATCAAATTTACAGAATAGCAAAGTAAGAAATGGCAAGGCTTGATTATAGATGCTTCAGTGAATAAAGGAGCTGGTTTTATTTGACATACTGATACTCCCAGTATAGCCATAGTTGCCTGCTCAACATTTTGTTTACTCTGATGTGCATATTTAGCAGAAATGGGAGCAATAATATTCTTTGGGAACATTACAAGAATATATATACGTACTTCACTGAGCCCTCAAGACCCTCATGTAGTTAGTTAAAAATACCATGCTGAGTCATGTGGCATTTCATAATAGTGGTGCGATTTATTTTCTAACCCCATAAATTTGCATAAATCTCCATGATCTCAGTATCACTGTCCTGTGGAGGAGTTGGAGCACATATATGTTAAATGCCTTGCCCGAGATCACTGAATGAGTCTGTTGCAGAGGTAGGAGTAGATAGGTTTCTCTGTTTTAAGCAGTGAAAGACACTGTAACACTCAGTCACTCTGAGATGGGTTTAAAAACTGTTCTGATGATGTCCTGATGGCTAGCAAACAGTGTCTCTTTCCATTTGCTGTGGATGCTCCTTCTCTTCTTCCCCTTCATATACTTAATCTCTTGTAGAAATGTACTTTAATTTCTGTAACATTTGGTTGTTAAAAGGGAAAGGTTGACCAAAACAGGCTCCTCCTGCAGAATTTGTCCGTTAAGTCACTCTGACCTGCCAGTGTGGAAGGTGGAAGTGAGAACAAAGAGATAAATCCAGGTTTTACTGGTCAAACTGAAACTATCATTCAGGAGGGGAGAAACAAAAAAAACTGGGTATTTTGCAATTGATTGAAACACAAAACCAAAAGATGCAAATTCTTTATTTCCTAGATGAGAAAACTATGATTTTTTTTTTTTCTTTCATCTGAAAAAGCGTGATCGCTACAGACACTGAGGCTACTGCAGGACTGTACATAAAAATGCACAAGAACAACCCTGTCTCTTCCTGCATCCTCTTAGTTTGCACTTGAAACATTTTCCTCCTGAATTTTTCATGCATATTCATGTACAGTTGTTGGCGATGGATCTTACCTGGAAAAGGATAAAATGCATTTAAATGCTGGATCTCACTTACTGATGAGAGCAGTAATTCAGTTTACTGGGTATGATTCATTATGGCTCTATAACCTCTCTGAACCTGGAGCCAGGAGCGAGACTGCTATGACTATGAATAACATCAGTGCGGGGGGCGTGTAGACTAGACTGGCGGCCCCTAGGATTCATTGCGGCAGGGGGATGACCTTACAGCATCCTCCTAAGGACTGCTCGAGCCTGTACCAGACCCCACACTGTCTCCTAGCAGTCCCTTCTTTGTGCTCGAGCCAGCAAATGAGTGAAACTGTCCTGGTACGGCTTGTCAAACTACGATTTTATAAGATGGACAGTTAAAACCAGAAAGAGGAGATAAGAAAGAAGGTGTATCTCCAAGATCTAGATGAAGTCTTGTTTTGGATTGGAGCTGGCAGTAGGGCTGGACTCTGTTCGGGATTTCTGCTATGTAACCTGGTCGTGTACAAGCACTTCATCTTCTGTGATATGTCCTGTGATGAATTTGAAGCAGAGAGAAAAAAAAAAAAATTAGGTAACAAATGAAACAAACCCCAACATCGTTCTTACCCATATCCAAAAGCTGAGGGTGTTTTTGAAGCTGGGGTTTTAAATACATTTTAGTCTTGATTCTTCTTTCTGTCGTCGTAAAAATTCTGGATCTAAAATTTCCTGGAGAATTCTAACTAGGGAAGTACAAATAAGCTACTCGGATACTCGGTGTAGTTGTGGCAAGAAGTTGGGTCTCCATATGTTCTCCTGGGCCTGGGCTGAGGGAGCAAGGAGCCTGGCCATGGAACAGATTGCAGATGGAAAAGTCGTGACTGTGAAAGATGTGAAGTAGAGAAGAAGCTCAAATAGATAAGGGAGTATGAGAGGGGTGGGAGGGGGAGTGAGAAGTGTATTTTAGAAGGACCTGGTCAGCATATCGGCCAAGGAAGACCTTTCTGATGGTGGTGTTTGTGCTAGAGGGTGGCAGTGTGCTTATTAGCAAGGCAGAGGAGGAGGGGACAGAGGCAGTGATCCGTCCTGAGGTAGCAGAGGGAGGCAAGGACAGGAGTTCTGCCTGGGTGATTAGGACAGCTATTACTGAGGGAGCATGTCAGACTGGGAGAGGTGACTTCAGCTGAGCTGCTTCCTCTGGAAGTAATGACTTCTGCTTATAGCAAGAACGTAGCCACAATAAGAACAACCTGTGCATATCATAAAATTAAGCTGTAAAGGGGAGATGGTAAAAAGAGCTGTGACATTTGAAGAAGGAAGACTCTGCAGCATTTTCTTGAACTAATTGGGAAAAAAAACCCCAAACCTTCAGGTACCTACAAAGATGCTGCATTTTTCAGGTCTGAAGATGTTTTTTAACTACAGTGTGATTTAAAAACCTAATTTTTCAACCTAGACATATTTATTTCTTTTCCCTTTTTAGCTCTATCGTCCACTTCTGAAAAGATATGCTGAGCTTGAACAGAAGGTTGTCTACAACCCAACCTCATCTTGTCTTGCAAAATAGAAGCAAACAAAATTTATAAGTTGAATGAAGAGTGGACTCCCAAGGAGAAGATCAGAAAAGATTTGCTCAGAATTTACTGGAGTTGTTTAAATCATTTTGTTCCTCTTAGTAGACAAATAATTTTTAAATGTCTGTGTTTGAGTGTGTTGGTGGAAAAAATTACATTGTGATTGAAAACCTGATTAAAAAAGCATCATATTGCTCAGTGTGTTTGTGACTTCAGTTTTTCTTAGATACTTTTTCAGATCACTGTTGTTTTGGAATAGCTGGATGACAAAGTCAAGTCCCTTGTATGTATGAATCACTCTACCCATCCCTATCAGCTTTGATTATGGAATCATGCCAGCTTCTGCATACCTATCTAGCACAGTATCTTAATTTCACAACTTCTCTTGCTTAAGTATTTTGAGACTATCTTTCTGTACATCTGTAACTTGTCGATGTTTATATCTCTGCCTACATGAAACCAACAGAAAGCATAAACACATTGACTTAATCCCATCTTTCTTTAATATGTGGAGATTTGTGGTGTGAAGGCTGATTAGAGTCTTTGAAGACTCCATGGAATCCTCAGAGAAGGGGAATTCTTGTTACATGACACGATGGAAAGTCTGTCGTGTGATAAAACTTGATGTGGTTGGATTTTATAAATTCTGGAGAGTGCAGAGGCCTTATGTGATACAGACACCATTGCACAATGATTTACTTGACATCAGTTTTGTAAAAAGGAAAATGGGGGAACAAATGTGGGAAGCTGCACATGTTTCTTTTCCATTTCAAAAAGCAGAGTCAGTTCATCCGCACAGTGGTTTGGGGTTCCTGTGTTTTCCTTTCCTCCTTCAGGTGTCATGGCTATGGAATTCTTCGTGTCATGCTGAGGAGTGTGACTGCAGAAGTAGGACTCTGCTTCTAACAGGACATGAAGGTCACATTTTTTTATACCACCAACATCCCATATCTTTCTTGGAGATCAAAAGCAGAACTGGTGACTGTCTTGCTCTGTTGTTACTCTTTCACTTCAAATGTTTTAGTCCAGATTAAGTAGCCTCTAACTGAGAAAATCTTGAGAGAAAATACAAGCCAGGAGTTCTTTCTGTGGAGATGTGTGGAAGTTGCAGAGTTTGAATGAACATCCTAAATCACCGTGTGCAGCTGGGAACACTTTACTGCACCATTCTGCAGTGCCTGTATCTTTCCCTTAGGATACAATTTCTTCTGGGAATTAAGCAGACTTTGTTAATGAAAGTGACTGAAGCCTTTCTTCCCTTCTTGTAGAAGTTGTAATGTGCCTAGGGAATAAGCCGGGGAATTGTAGGGAGAAGAGGATCTCTTTATTGAGTATTTGAGAGCTAGATTACATCCCTGCTGGAGCTGGGTGACTCCAATTTGTATTCTTCACATTACAGTGACATAGGAGCGCTTTCCCTGTCCCTGCTGCGTCTCTGCAGTGAGGGTGAGAACCCCTTGCCATGACTCACCTCGGGAGTGGCAGGGGAATGGGGACATTCCTCCTTTGCTCTCCCTTTTGTATTTAAGTACTTCATTTGCAAGTACGAAAGGTGCTTTTTTTTGTTCACAACTGAATAATTATAACTTCTCTTGATATTAGTATGATTACTCAGGAAGGTCAAGAATTACATTTCCGAGTTTCTAAAGCAGGTTTCTTTTAAGCAATTGCTTTAAAAGGTGGCATTATAAATACACATCTATCTCTTTTATGTGCTTATTATTCTGGGTCCCAAGGTACAGTGCTAAAATGTATAATACTTCTCACAGGTCTCCACCGTCAGCAGTTGCTTTGTCATTGAGCAAGGCTATAGAGAGGTGCAGAAGGATTCATTAATGTAGGTTAAACAATGCATACTAGTTTAAGCAGCATTGCCATCATCGTTAGTCTTTAGTTCTGCCTGGTTACTGGTTTGACATCAAGGTTAACCACACAGGGAAGGGATTCAGAGAGTCTTTTTAGCTTTGTGCAGTTTTGGTGACAATTTTTTGAGTAGCTCACTTAGCATATCAGAGTGAGAAAACTGATATCTCTTGTAGCTTTGTGGCTTTTTTTGCCTGTGAAATGGGAGATTCAGGATCAATTTCTCACTCAGCTGAAGAAGGTTAAAGCTTACGTTTCCCAGCTCATAGCACATGTTGGAACATTTCTGGGTAATATATTGGCTCCTAACAAAGTGTTCTGTGGTAGATGTAATCTAGATGATATAACTACTTTCTGGGCCTGGGCTGTCCTCTGTGTAGGGAGAAGGAAACACTTCCTTCTCTCTTGGGCTGGGTTGGGATGCTCTGATGTGACTTTCACGTTAGCATTAAAAAGATTTCCTTGGGGTAGCTGATGCACTATGTGCTTGCTGCAGGAGTCCCTAAGAAAACACTCACGTGCAAGGCTCTGAAGGGCCAGGAGTTGAGCGCCACTGAATTACAGTATTGCTGTGGTGATGAGTTTGTTAGGGCTGGCCTCTGAGGAATGGTGTCTGGAGTATAAGAATTTATAGACAAGCTCTTTTTTTTCCAGCTCACGAAAGTTGCATATGTACACTGACTAGTGTCAGATAGAATAAGACTCAATAAATCTCCCTCTTGAAAGATCCTTTGAAGAAAAGCTGCTGTAAGACTTGCACCACTCTTTGTCTTTCTAGGAATGCACATTAGCCTGACAAGGAACCACAGGCTTCTTGCTCTTGCATGCACACCACTTTAAAACGCCCCCAGTAATGGAAGAATCTGGTGTGCTTTGGTTACCAAAATCATGTGGTTTTTTGCCAGCTTGCCTACCTTGTGTTATTGTGGTTGTCTGGAATAGAGAGGTTACTTACTTAACATCTTAGCTATCAGAAATTTAAAGGTGAGCCAATGTCCTCTACCTCAACATAGTTGATGGAGGTCGATTCTCTCCCTTCCCCTTCAAGGTGAGCAATATGGCATCCCCATCTTGTCTAGACGAAAGGTTAGCTTCTGTGTGTGAAGACCTGCTGAACTATTCCCAATCTAGATTAATCTGATGGTAATTTGATTCCATCTCCTGGGAAAAAACCCACCTTGATTGCCACAAGGAGGTTGCTCATTGCTCTCTAACCTGCGGCTCCTGTCCTGCACAAGCAAAGACACTCTAGGTTGGAGGTGGATCATGGAGTTACACAGAAAAATACAAGGAGCTTCCTTAGCTTGATGGGCCTGTGCCCTAACTAGTCTAATCAGAGCTGCACTGGATTCACCCGCAAGCTCGTGGTGTACCATGACCCAAAGACAAACGGTTTTCTTTGCAGCCTGAAGTCTTTAAAGTCTTTTGTGATGCAGCTGGAAACAAACAGGGAAAGATGTTTGCTTTTTCTTAAGGGATCAGTCTGAGAGAGCTGGAGCTCTGATTGAATAAGTAATGCACTGAAAAAAGTCTGTGTTCTGTCAGTGCTTTAATAAGTAATTGAGCTGAATACCGCCATGTGTGATCCCAGTGGGACCTTTTTGTTTTTCAGCTTTCTTTTCCTTTGGAGTTGCAGCTACCACCACAGATCACAGAGCAGTGCAGTGAGGGTTATGTATCTAAAGCCACAAAAAGCCAAAGCAGAACTTCCGACAAATCATTTGTTTTATCCCTATCTCTATTATCTTTGTCCTCAGGCTGCTACGTGCAGTTTAGGGGCTGAGGGAAGAAAGGAGTAACATTTTAGAGAACTAAACTGACTGCTCTTGATGCTAGTCATGAATATGGGGCCAAATTATAACACCTTCCCTAGCAGAAAGATGATGATTTGGGTTTTTCTTCTCAGCCACTGTTTTTTCACGTAACCTCTTGGATTTTGATTTTGGTGAGATCTCAACCGTCATGTTAAATTGTGTTGAAATTGTCAAACATACTGCTAAAGATGATAAGCAGGCGGGTGGGCATTCACTCGGATACCAGAGTATCATATCCCATGGGGACTGTTTCCTTAAGAAGCTTCTTTGAAGGTGACTGTAGTCCTGATTCCACGTGGTTTGAAATTTTAATAGTGTTTTACTCTCGTGCAAATTGGGTACAAAATCATATTTACACCAAAGGATCTTACCTTCTTATTACTTTACACTCATTTTGTGTAGGTCAAAATCAAAATGTGATGTGCAAGGGAAAAGAACTTGGGATGAATTTTTTTGGTAGCCTGCTTTTTTCTGAGCATGTCTCTGAAGTGTGTGAGTAGGACATCTTTGTCTGGGGTATTCAGAGAAGTTACAGCCCCTGCTTACCTTCTGTGTTTTGATGACGGCCTAGGCCAAGTCTTGTTGGTTAGCCAGTTCAAGTGGTTTATCTTTCAGTCATCAAATCTTACATTGCCAGAATGTAAGATTTTTAGATTAATTTTTTTTCCCTAGAAACTTTTTTTCTTCTCCTGCAGCAGATATGACCTTTTCTTGTACACAATTTGTCTTGCTAGCTGTTTACACTTCTGTGGGATACTAAGAACTTCTTTTATGTGACACTTTCTTGAGTGAACTTGTCTCCTGCTGAAATCCAGCCCCAAGAGTCATTTTGCTTTACTTGTTCTTCTGCTCCTCTGTTGCTTCTTAAAGTTGGCCTTGACAAATAGAATGATGCTTCTGCAGTGATCCCAGACTTCTGGGAATGTCTCAACCATTGTGGGAACTCAATGATTTTGTTCAGTGTTCTTGAAGCACGTATCCTGAGGGGGTAAGGGTGAAGGAGAAGCTATCACTGCTTATGGATACTGCTGTGATCTCTGATTCCAGTCTTTCACTGAGTTGCCCCATCCACTGATGTGTCAGCCTGCCCATTAGAACAACTGGGTATATTATTAACTGTTCTCAATGTTTCTTGCTCTAAGATCTTCAGATGACAGGTATTTGTGATATATTCTTTGCTAATATGCTGTGATTAGCTCTGTCTTTATTTCGTATATTGTGCCTTAGTATTCTGTAGTGCATCCATCTGGTTGTCATTTCTCTTTTAGCATCTCATCAGCCAAACAGAAGTCTTTGGTCACTCAGGTGTGTGATTTGTCTGACCAATGTAGACATCTGTGTCTGCTATCATATGGGCTCCTTCTGTAATCAGAGGAAAGGACCACAAGGGAGAGGAGTTTCTGGCTGTTGTTCATTTTATTTTATGGCAGATGTGTACAACAGATCAGGTGATTTGTCTCTTGAGTCAGCCATTTCTCCCTGCTGAGTAGAAACGCAGTGGTGTGGAGAAGAGGACAGAAA